TGTGAATAAAAACCTGCGTGCAAGCGCTCAATTTATGGCGAGGGAAGAGATACTTTCTCCTGTTACTTTCACGTGACTTTCCGCGACTCCCCCAAATAGAGAGCTTGCAAAGCGTACTGTGCCACAACCGCGGAATTAGGGACCCTACGATCCGACAACTGCGACGTCCATGAAAACGTCGCTGAAAAATAGACTTTTTCACGATTATTCCAATTCACTCTATTATTAAAAAAGAAATGAATTTTGATTGGAGCTGAAGAGAGGGTCCGCGCCCGAATTCAGACAAAGATGGTAGAATTTATTGCCTTGCCGTTCCCGTTCTCAAGTAAACTTAAAATTTGGTCATTTAACGTCGTAGTTGTGAAGGGACAGCAAAGAAATGTACAAAAAAGCGTGATGCACGTGCACAGTTGTTTTGCTAATTAAACCTATGACTTTTTCTAGGTTCCCGTTGCCGTCGTAGTTTCGTAAGGTCCCTATTGTCAATGGGGGAAGGGGGGTCCGCAAACTACTGTCCCTACCGTCACATCGCAACTAGACTCTTGTTGGTATTACTTGGACCAGTTCCCAAAGAAGGAAAAGAAAGTCAAAAGAAAGAGGAAATTCGACAGGCGCTACTGCGGAAAGAACCTCTCACCCTCCACCATGGTTATGGCACCAAAGGGCTGAAGGGGTGTTTTCGTGCAAAGGTTGAACCTCACCGTCTTAAGCAATAGAAACCCCAGGCTGAGGTTCCTGGCGCAACCTGATTCCTGTACCGGAAACACCCAAGGGAGCAAAGCGGGTGCACAGTGCAGTTCCAGATCGCTTACTCAGACTTAGAATCCACAGTCCTGTGCTGACCTCGATTCCTGTTAACCCTAGAAAGTCCACGAGAAGTGGTCAGGAATTAGACTCAAAGAAGAACTTAGACTATATACTGTGAACATTATTTGTTCATCATATTCGTTTGCTTGGGAAAACAGTGTATTTCTTGCTTACAGGGGACATGTAAACTACTGCTTATAAGCCCCAGGCTTATTCATCTTCCTAAGGGGTTTTATTAGGATTAGGGGGGTGTGTTTACATGAGAAAACTCGCATCCCCGCGAGTTTCATACCGGGATGACTTTTTTATTTCGTATCGCGTTTACATGATGACTGGGTCATTTCATATCTCGTTATTTGAAGGTACCCTTCATGTTGATAAAATACGCGTAAGATTCAAAATCGCAAACATTACGTATGATACCGTTGCGATATTTCGTACCGGAGTGAAATTCTCGCCCCGGTACAACAACTGGGGTGAACTCACGTCGGGGTGACTCGCGCCGGTACGACATTTTGTGGTGGTATCATGTAAACAATACCGTACGCATAGCTACTTTGGGTATAATGTAATTTGCAAAACAAAAATCATAGATAAGACTAAAAATTCTGCCATGTAGAATTATTTTTTTCTTTTTTTGGATTTTCTCTTCGCCTTTCCTGGAGCCGGGCATCCACACTTGGATACCTTTTCCCCTCTACTGAAGGACAAAAGGTTTCTAGTCCATATCTGCCAACATGGCGACTGTGACCAAATGTCTTCGTTTTAGGCAGGTGGCACTGTCTGCAGACGTTAAAAGTAGTTGACCTCTGGTACTTCCGTTTGCTTGCAGTCTCAGGACTTGTAGGCGTTTCTGCTTTAGCTGCCCTTTTACGCTGGTTGTACAGTGTTGTACGTGGCACTGGTATAACAGTGGGACTGTTATATACACGGACTGCCCCTTCAGCTGGAGGTACAACTCTTTGTGTGCCTTTAGGTCTTTCAGTTGGTAGATTTGGAATAGGTTTAAAGTCATCTGGCGTTCGAGCTGGATAGGTTGGTGGCTTGGACAGAAGTGACTGTGTAGGAGGAAGTGGCTCAGCAGACTCAACTAGTGCAGTGGGTGGGAGGGACTGGATCAGAACCCTGTTTTCTATGTTGTCTCTTGTTAAACCTGTAGACAAAATAATCGGTAAGTTCATCCGGTTCATCTGGATCAAGACGACTGACATCTGAAGACCAAGTCTTCCCCGTCTGGCTGTAAAGATATTCTAACCCCATTTTCTCACTAATTTTGTAATAACAAGAACATTTCAAATCGGTATGTTAGTTTTATGTGGTTATTAGGAACTGCAACTTTCCAAATGAAGGTGGAAATCAGCAGCCTATAGATTGCTCATACATGGGATACACTTAGTAGCTGACACAGCACTATTTATCTGTTACCTAACTCCATGCAAAACATGATTAAGATAAACAATTAACCCACATTACCTGTGTACTTGCCAGGATGGTCAAAGTTCTTTTGCTGCTCTTCACCATACACCATTTTAGTCAAGCGGTTGATTTCGTACTTTAGGGAGGAAGAGTAGCTGCTTGTTGGTGAATTTTCACTCCCATCTATCATGGCCGCCGAAGCCCTGTCTTCATTCCAGCGTACAATGCCCTCAAGTAGATAGCACTGAAAGTGGATATCATTGGCTATTGTACCTACAAGTAAAAAATTTAAGCATTTAAATGGAGTGCCAGAAGAAAGATGTTACCATTTTATAAGATGGTCTTAGACCATTAAATAACACAACTTTCTGTTTCAGTACAATCTTTTCAGAAACACAGATAGTAGTTGGAATGTACCTTACACATCTCTTCATATCTCTTAAGTCAACATTTTTTGTTAACAGAGGTGATCCTTAAGGAGGATGAGGACATTATTGTTTTATAAGTAAAGGATTTTGTGTGTTTTTTACCTGGAATGAAGCGATCAATGTGTAAATGGAATGACTCCAATGATGTTGACCCTCAGGCATATCTGTACATGGGGAGCTCAACACCACCCTTCTTTAATGTACCAGTCTGGGTGTACAATTGAATGGCAGGGTCATCTACGTCCTGTATGCTCGAAATGTGCTGTTTCTGCTCCTCCCAATTCTGCTGGATTGATGTTTTCTTCAGCAGAGGTATACCCATGGTATCCTTCGCTTTGTCAGAAGAAAACGTGTCGATTAGATCTTTGATGAGACGAGTTGTTTCCTCCACTCCCCGTGTGCGTCGATTGCAGTGGCTGTGCAAGGCCAGTTCTTTCTTAGTAATATACATAGCAACATCTTGTTTCCGTTTTCTCGACACTCCACTGGCAGAGAGTTGTCCCCTTTTGGCTGCATATAATCTTTGAAGGTCTTTGGTATCCCACTCAAACACACATGCAGATAGTCGAGACATAAAGGTAGCATACAGGGCATGGGATTCTGAACAGCAACCAGCAGCAAACTGTCTCATAAAATGCCATACATCGAGACGTATGACCAGATTGCTCCACTCATGGAAATGGCTCTTTAACTTCGTAGAACAGCAATCTCGGTCCACATACAGAAGTTTTGGTGGAGGTACATTGGAGTTTCTGTATCTCTCTACCAAGCCAGTCACCATGTCGCCAAGACCATCACCTTCCGAATCTGTCAAGACAGATGAAAGTACGTGACCAAGCTCATTGCCCACATTTGTGGCCCAAGAAGCTGTCCCAGCAGTATTTCCTCCAAGCTTTTTAGTGACCTGCAAAATTGTGCAAGAAGAACGATTGTTAAAACATTTTATGATAAATATAACACTGCAGTGCATACACAGAAAATGAAAGTGCCCAAAATATGCTAGTGTAGATACAGTACAGTGTACATGCATTTCTAAAAAATATTATTTAATAGTCATTATTCCATTTAATAATATTTCTCTTTGCAAGGTTTTATTACTTAATCAACAAACTTTAATTACTGTGCTGACATGGTTTTAGCTTCCAAGTTACTAAGTACCCTCTCCCATCAAATTTCACTGTTTTGTAAGAAGAGTCCACCATAATAATAATTATTTACAATTGAAAAGTGAAAAATTCTTATGAAGCTATTACCCTCTTTGTTGAGTCCATTTTAAGGACTGAGCCAAAGGTAGAGGTTATCTTTGCCTTCACTTCATCTAGCCTGCTCAAGACATCCCTCACATAAACGGCAAGAAACCAAGGTCCTTTAGGCACCGGTGTGATTGGTGTTAATTCTTTGTTGGGAGCAGCAATACTGAATAAGCCACTTGCAGCTTTGACATGAAATGGCTCCCTAGCTTGTAAAAACCTCGAGCCTTTTCATGTAAAATTCACTATGCTGCTCTCCAACTTGATTACACACCTTAGTGGAAGAGTTCCCGAGGGTCCTCTGTCTTAACAGGCCAACAACTCACAAATCACAAGAGTATCTGAATACAAAAAAATAGGAAAACAAATTTCTGGACAAGTCATTTGATTAAGCCATTATTAAATAATGCATAAATGAATTTGGTATTATTATTTTCCAGCAAAAGGCAAGTGGGTTTTCTTTTTTCATGTCATCTCATCTTACTGCTGGTGAATTATTACAATAAATTAACGACTTTGTTTTTTACTGGTACCTGTATGTGAGTAGTGCTGGAAAGTAGCTCCGATGGCCCAAGCACAGTTGACCAAGTACCACACTGGACCAGGCAGCAAATTTTATTTTTGCAAAACTTGCATTCTAGCTGGTACTCTGTACCCATGAAGTACCATTGGTCCATGTCCAACACTCTCCGTACTGTTTTGTATAACCCTGATTGTGTAAGGTACAGCTGAAAAAAATGATACATAATTGGAGAAAAAAGCTTAATATCCATGATTATGGAGAGTAAAGATGTATTGCTGAACATTACAATGCTATCCCCAAAGCATAAATGAAAGCTTTATTCATGTCCGCACGAGGTAATATTTACATTTGTATTATTAAAGGACAAGACAATAATATTATACTAAAAATATCACGTAAAACTGTATATAAATATCAGTAACAAATGTTAATATAAATAAAGACTACTTTAAAAAACCCAAGTCCTATATGTAATTGTACCTTCACATTCTGTTTAGCTTGATTTGCTTTACACTCCTCGGTGCAGCGCAGATCAAGGCCCCAAATTCTCTGTGGTGCCCAGAGAAAAAAGGGTTCTCAAAAGTAAGTGTCAGGTGAAGCTGGGGGTTGGTTGCAGTTATGGACAGGCTCTGGTGGGATCCACCACATCTTAAGGTCTTTCTTTATCTCGGACTTGCCAGTCGAAGGGTTGAACTGGTACAGTGCTTTGCTCATCCAACGTTGTTGCTCAATTGGTAAGGTCTCTTGCCAAGCTTTGGGAAGAGCAATTTTCTGTGAAAAGGGTAGATGTAAAAGAAAAATGATACTGTTAAACAGTTGTGTAGGACTTAGTTCAACCAGATACAACCTTTAAAACCAATAACAATATAAATTCTAATAATAAATAATTATATATCTAACCTCTGGAGTATCCGATATAGGGGGTGCAGCTGTCACTGTCGAACTGGGACCAGTAGAGGGAGTAACTACAAATAGATAATAGAAGGATTGACAGTATTAAATCAAACAGACTAACAGTAAAAAATCTACCTTAAACAAATAACATCTGTAATATATAAATAATATCTGTACATGTACATGTATAAATGTCATGTTTAAATTTTGGGCTGAAATTGAGAAAAAAGGATGTAATTTGCTTACTACTGATAAGCAAATTACACCCTTTTACAGGAAACCGTTTACTACGTCACAACATACAAGTTTAATATATTTCTAAAATATGATACTGTCATCAGTTTTATTTATTATATGTGCCCATTCTTTCGTCAACCTCATCAGCAAATCGAGCAACGGCATCATCGTCATTTTTTTCCTGCTCCTGCTGCCTCCTTATAAGATACTGTTTAATCTTATCCAGTTGACCACTGGAATGCGTTACTGGATGATGGAGGAGCTCTCGTACATAGCTTTTGTGGTTTTGGTCCACTGACTCAGAGAGTCCTTTCCTAGTCATACTACTATATGGTCCAAAACCAACAAGAGCATGTCCTTCAGCATCTCCAGACCCCACTCCACTGGCCTTGGCTTTGTTCTGGCGTATTCTTTTGCCAATGGCATTAATCATCTCTGGGAAAAGATTAACATACCTATAAGTAAAACAAAAGAACACAGCGTGCATTGAAGGCAATTAAATGGCTAGAAAACAACATGAAGAAAATTGGTAGTCTCATAAGTGCTAAAAAATTAATGTAAACCCTTTTCTAAACATCTCTCTTTTTAAATACACTGTGCCATTACAGCTAATACATAATGTGCCACAGAAATCAGGTTCGTTTTATTGCTTAAAAACAGCATGCTTAACTATACTAACCTAAAAAGAGCTTCTTTATTGTCCCATTGTGGATCCCCGTACCGCTTTGCTGTCTCGCGAGCACGTTTGTGGTAAGTCATTAACATGGTAGCCCAACCAACATCATTCTGCAGAAGCCACACAAAACTCTTGCCACGGTACTTGCCAAACTGCAGAGAAGTCATTCTTAGGACCCACTCCTCATTATCCACATCTCCACCAGACTCACGCACACATCCTTTCGCCTCTAACTCAGCCGATAATCAAATTCTGGGCTGACTTATTCCCTGCTCACAGATGTCCTTCCGTTATAAAGCCGCTCGATGATCCCACCCGTCTTCTTCTTCCCTGCTCTCGCTGAAGTTTAGGTCACCGTTCTTCCGATGTTAAGTCTCAGCTGTAAGTCTTCCACGGCAAGGATTTCCAGTCACCTGTCGAATCGGGCACTGTTGTGTTTGCAGCCCGCTAGCGCTGTTGTTTGCCCTCAGACATACTTTGCGATTCGCCAACAATAAACAGATAGTCTGCAAGTCTGCAGGTCTGCAGGTCTGCAAGTCTGCAGTCTGCGTTTGTCGCACACCGACTTGAATTTGATTGTCGGCGAATTTCTGTAATCATCCATCGTTTGCTAGTGATAAGCTAGCCGTTGTCCACTCGTCTTGCTTGTTTGGGGCTGAGTCTTATTCCGGTCAAAGAGAGAGAAAGAGTGTCTGGCAAGGTTTCCAATCAAAGATTTGTGAACTCGTGTCTGGCAAACTCTCCAAGTGTTTATATATACACGGTTGTACGCACCTTATAACGTCATCTGTGCTTTACGAGTGTCTTTTGGTCCATAACTTTCATTGAAACAACTGCTCCACAGAATGTCACTGATAACACGTAACGCAAAAGAGTATCGAAGTATGACTGCACAATAAATGTCACAAAATCTACCTAAACGGTCCCTTCGGAATTTCATTACCTACCGATTCCTCGCGGCCCCTGTTCAAGCAAATCGAGATTTTTTTCTGGCATACTGACTGTATATTTCAACTGTAAGTACTTGCTATAATATACGCGCGCGTTACTAGAGTGCCTCCTCGGGATTTCGCCCTCTGGACGAAATCCCTGCGGGGGCAATTATCCCCCCCCCTTCCCTGTGAGTTCCGAACGTGTCTGCAAGTCCGCAAGTCTGCAAGTCTGCAGGTCTGCAAGTCTGCAGGTCTGCGGTCTGCAAGTCTGCAGTCTGCGTTTGTCGCACACCGCTTATATGTTCTGTTTACATTTGACAGTTACGACAAACGTACGACGCTTATTCCAAATAAGTATATGAATTTTAAAAAAAATTATAGAGTTACTTCAAATCTATGTAATAACATCATTAAGATTACTCAATAAATCGAAATCATTTGGCTAAACATTAAAACTTATCTGAATGATGAGCTGCTTCTTGCTTGTCGATCCGACCATATTCCTTCGTCATCACATTTCCTTCTGCCGTTCGAAGTAGGCGCTCTTTATCTATACAAAGTCAGCGAAAGTGTGGTACATATCCTTTTCTGCTTTCTTATCGAGTAAATTGGTTTTCTTTCCCTTCACTTTCGCCTCCATCTGTACGCTATTTCAAGGAAACATCTACGACAGCACAGCCGCCATCTTGGTTTCAAAAGTAAGACAAAAATCCTTTTGTCTGTGACTGGTCAGCTTTGTTCTTAAATGTTCTAAAATTGACCAAATCCAGGCATCTGATTGGTTCAAACTGTTCTTAAATTGTTCTTAAATTGCTCTAACATTGAGTGAGGCGCAAGGATGACACGCAAATTCGTGAAGCGTTCCAAATTTTTTTCTTTGTTGATAACACCTTTTAAACGCTTGTTTTTGTCCATGTTCAGCGATGATTTTCAGGCTTTTCTGGACAGATAATTTATGGGAGAGATGGCCCAACGGATTATTTTTACATTTAAAGAAATAAACTCTGCATAGTTTACATGTACAACGGATGATGAACAAGCTCATAAGTACAAAATTCTACTTTTTAATGAAGACCGATGAGATGCAGGCATAAGAGTCTTCTGTGCTTGTATCGTTTCAGTTTGCAAATACGGAGCTTATAAATTTCACTTCTTATAAACCCCCACAGTTATAAGCTCACCTACCTGTTAACATAAAAGCCATAAAAAATACATCCGATTAAAACCCTATACGGACGTTAACCTATCTCCAACTGTGTTGAAATGCATCAATTTTGGAAAACTCGTAAATTCCAAACGTATTTGATCAGTTCTCAGTTATATCTTGTTTCAAAGAGCTTGTTTTATTCGGGTTATAAACCCTCTCGGATATAAGCCCTCGCTCCATTTATAAGCCTAATAAAACCCCTCAGGAAGATGTATAACCCCAGGGCTTATGAGCGGCAATTTACGGGTTTACCTCGGTGTAAGAACCTGTGAACTTTTTCTTTGTTTCGCCCCTTTTGTGTTTCTACGTTCTATTGTGTTGACTTCTTTGTTTCCTTTGTTTGACGTCACTTGTGAGTTTAACAGGTTCTTACACCGAGAATGAGCCCAATTTACGGCATTAATTCTAATGTCCGAGCATAGAAACGGATAACTTTTTAAGTTTTTTACCGTTTACCCCAAACAATGACAGGGACAATGATCTTTCATATTTCATTCACCAGTAAAAATACTAAGGCCAACTAAAGACTTCGAAAAAACTTTTTAAAACTTGAGCCAGTAATCCAATGAAAAGAAAAACCGAAAGCGATCGATCGAAAGCGAAAGCTTCGTATAGCTGAGTCCGAAATAAGGTACTACAGGGCAGCGGATGATACATGCCGGTAGTTGTCAGTTGGCAACTACAAAAAATACCATAACATACCATGATGCTGTTTGTTTGTCACCCAAAAAAATTTGCATAAACATTGTCTTTAGTTTCTCTTGGGAATTAAACACAAGTATCTTTTGTTCCCATGCCAACCACCTCATTTCCATTGTTAACAATGAACTTGCAAAAATAATTATTTGGCTTAAAGTGAATAAGTTATCTCTAAATTCGACTGAAACAAATTTTATGATTTTTCATCCAAGGCAAAAGTCAATGTCCCTCTTACTCTGGAAAATACTGTGATCAAGCAAGTCACGAAGACAAAATTTTTAGGTGTTCTCACTGATCAGCATCTCTCTTGGAAACCACATAATGATTTCGTCTCAAAAAAATCTCGAAAAGTGTGGGAACTTGTATTGCGAAAGCCCGCTTTTACCTATCATCCCAAACTTTGATGACCTTGTATTACCCCCTTAACATACTGTAAAGTCGCCTGGTCCTCCACCCACTGTTCCAACCTAAACTGTATTTACCTTTTGCAAAAGCGTCTAGTGCGGCTCATATCAAAAGCTCACTATCTAGCAAATACCGCCCCTTTATTTAGCCAGCTTAAAGTCCTTGACATATTTAGTATTAATTCATTTTCGGTCGCTACTTTTATGTATTCTTATCACCATAATCTTTTGCCTAGTAGCTTTCATGACTTGTTCTTAAGTAGTAATCAAGTTCATCAATACGAAACTCGACTAGCCTCTCAGTATAGATCTCATTTTTGCAGAACAAATATAAAGCAATTCGGTATCCTTTACCGAGGACCTAAAATCTGGAATTCGTTGCCTATTTCACTAATAAGCTCTCCTTCTATATTTGTTTTTAAAAAAAATTAAAGCATTATCTCACTGATAGCCGATCTGTCGCTTAATTTTCTGATCTTGCTCACTCTGCACTCAGCCATGAATTTAGTTCATTAGGTAGTTGAAGGAAGCCCATTAATATAAGCTTCAAGCTTCGTTAGGCTTCCTTGTCACATTAATTTTATAATTTAATTAACAACTTTTGTTCATGTTGTTTAAGGTTTTGTGAGTGACTAAATAAATATTAATAAAAATAAATTAATTAAAAAAATGGCGCCAAGAGAAACTGAAAACTAGAGGGTGTGAATTAACTGACTAGCGACAAAGGACGAAAACTATTACTGACTACCGACAAATCGAGAAAAAAAAAACCGACTACCGACAGGAAAAATATTAACCGACTACTGACATAGGTCGACGTATTTGTTTTCAGAAAAAAGAGCATTTTGTATTTTTTTTCTAGCCGTTAGGAAGTAACCTCTTTAAATTTATGACTCGTCAGATCGTCCAATATGAAAAAGGCTTTTGAAAGTGACGAGGAAGGTGATTTAGGTCCAGAATTTGGATACAAATGGCCAAGATTTTAACTGACAACTGACAAATGCTTTGGGTTTTACTGACAACGGACAAAGGACCTGATTTTCCCTTATTTTCTACAAAACCTGTTTTTAAGGTCTTAAGTAGCATTGTTCCACTCTTTTCATCAGACAATGTGGCTCAAATGTGCGTTTTTATGGGTAATCTTAGCATCAAGACGCTTAAGTCATATTTCGTTAATGATTTATTGTAAAACCCACGTATTTCATGTACCATTTGTTGTTAATGACCTATGTTCTCAAATTTACACTCCTCTAAGTACGTGCCAGCATACGATGGCTGCGAGTGAGGGCGTTACAAAAGTAATTGCAAGTTTTTACCGAGATGATTTAGGTGTGGTCTTTCTTACTATTTACGTCCCAATATCATACCTGCCAACTTTTCCTGGGTTTTCACCTTGACATCACCAGGGTTTCTAGAAACGTTCCGGCTACTTCCGCAGATTTCCGACGACTTTCCGAAGACTTCCAAACGTTGCCGAAAATGTCCGCAAATGTTCCGAAGACGTTTGAGCACTTCCGAAGTTATTTTAGAGACGACAATTTTAGCGTGCTTTAATTTCGTTAGAACACAACAAAGTACACCATCAAAGTGATCATTTAACGCCTTTTTGGATTGGATTTTCACTATTTATCATGTGTTAAAAAACACTTTGTCGGGATTTGTGAGTCAGACGTGAGAAATTGTCCTTGATATGTGAGATCGATGTCTTTAGACTCTTTAGTCCACCGGCGTGAGACTCATGCTTAATGCGTGAGAGTTGCCAAGTATACAATATTCTGAAGGTATAAATTGTGATGGAAATGTTGGACTCTGGCCAGCAAAAACGTTCGAGTGAAGGAAAGGAAAGGAAAGGACAAAAAATTGTTCCATTTTTCATCCACAGCTTCAATTTCTAACTGAAATACAGGCGGGCCGGAAAAAACGTG